GACAATCATATCGTATCGGGTCGTGTTCACATCAAGCACTAGTCAATCCTAACCAAATTTATTTAACTAATCGTATTGTATAGTGTCGATCTATTTATAATTTTTAAATAAAAAATTTAATGCTCTGTTTTATGTTTAAAATTTCATTATCATTTAATCAAATCTATGTTCATATTTTTTTCTATAAATTAAAAATTAATTTAATAAATATTACAATAAAAATGAGTTAAAATATTTTTTTTGTACAAAAATTAGGTTACTACTTGATAAAATATAATTAAAATTTAGTACTTTATTCTTATAATACTACTCAAACGTGTTAATCTTGTCAATTTCGTATCATTCTTGTTTGACACTAACTCAACCCATTTATTATTTGTGTTAACTCATCGTGTCATATGCGGGTTCGTGTTGAAAAATTTCGAACCCTAACACATTAATTTTATATTAATTTTAAATCGTATTTTTGTATTGTGTTAAAAATTATCGCCCCCTAATTCAAACTCACACTGTGTTAATGTAAACGTGTATTCGTCAAACACCATATGATTTCTAACTGCTGCCAACAATCTTTTTTGAAATTTTATAGAACTGGTAGATGGTAGATCATCTGCTTCCAACTTGTTTTAACAACTTATCTTGAGGTCTTTTCGCCAACATTTTCCAACTATAAGAAAATATTAAATATAACAAATGATCACCATGTATAAAGATGTAAAATTTCTTTATTCACTTAAATAATAACACTAAAGAATAATAATATAGTGAAACCGTTACGCAAAATAATAGACAAGTACATAGTAAGTAACAAGCCTACACTGTAGTAGTTTTACATGAATGGCACAACATTGTCTGAATTCCACATGATTAGATGTGGGACAATGTGGATGGGAATGACCCATGGGCCAATTTGGGTTGCTCCTTTAGTTTTTGCAAAGGCCCGGTTCTAAATAAAGAAAAAATAAGAAAGAGAAAATGAGAGAGTAATGGCAAGAGAGTTTTTGCACCGACTTTCAAATTTTCCATTGAAAATTGCTATCTATCTCTTGAGAGGAGCCCTTTAAATAGGGTATATTTTTGAGAAATTTAAGGAAGGTCCATATTTTAGAATTTATGGGGCTATAAATCCATTGGAAACTTATGTTAAGTTTAAGTCCATTTTTTATTGAAATATCCAAATTACCCCCATACTCCCTCTTTCCTCACACAAGACACCAATGCCAAAAATAGTAACTTTAAAAACAAAAACGAAAAAACATTTAAAATCAAAAATAGTAATATTTAAACCCAAAAGAGTAACATTTAACATTATGGTGGAAAAAAAAAAGTAACATTGAACATAATAAGGATATAAATAGTAACATCAACATGATGGTGGCCAAAAAATGGTAACATTTAAAACTAATTGATGTTACTATGGGAATGTTACATAGTTTGAGTGTTATTATGCGATGTTACTATATAATATTATTAATTTATGTTATTATATGTGTGTTGTACATCATTTGAATTTTACTAATTGATGTTATTATATGTGCGTTCTATTATTTTCTCTTGCTGATTATCTTGTTCTCTCACTAGATCCCAATGGATTACCTGGCCATTGTTGCTAGAAATTGCGATATAAGCTCATTCTAGCATTTGTCAGAGCAACTAAAGCTCTTATCAAACTGAAACAAACCTTTAAATTTGAACGAATCTACAACATTTAATACCACAAAAAAAAAATCCAATAGAAACAAACAAGAATTAATTCAAACCACCATTCAAAAAAATTTATTCAAAACACAATAGTAACATCAAATATGTATAAAAGACCATGATAACTGATAAATAGAAAAATAGCACGTACTCAAAACCCCGAGCCCAGCGGAGCTCTACTCCGGCGTTGAACCACTTCAGCTCGGCAGGATTCCACGCCTAGGGGACCCATACTAGTTTCACTTAACTATTACTTCCACTTAGCCAACAAAAACTGTGTTAAGTGAGTAACGGATTCAGCTAAAGTAGGTGGAGCAAAATCCTCTAACAACCGAACCACACGGCTTATAAAACGGAAGCTATGCAGGAGATGGAGGTAGGTGACAACAGCTAAATCAAAAGCTTCTTTGAATCCTTAGAATCTCTTCGATTGGATTGAATCTATCATCGGAAGGTCGATCCCCAGAACCCTCCGGTGTCGACTTGTCTTTGTACAGTACTGGAGGATTATTCTAACTCACTGTTGGCTCTAAAGCTCGGTGAACATTCTGAACCATCTTCGGTAACAATAGCCCAAAAGCCCACAAAAAATTTCGAAGGAAATGGCAAACATAGGTGTTGTCCCATTTAGCGTAAAGTATTTTGAACAAATCCGAGTAAAGGAATATACTCAGACAAATGCATTTTACTGAATATAAACCAAATTGTTCATAATCACACTAAATATTCGAATAGTAAAAGAATGAAGGAAAACAAACACGAATTTGGAGGTAAATTTAATGCATTGTGATGAATCTTCTATGTTTCATCTTCGAGGAAGGGTCATCGGATTCATTCGAATAGGAATAACTACGCATACTTGCATGGGCTGCAACAATGAATCTTTAAAAGCAAAATTGTTCCTAGATTAGGATTCAAGCAAAAGTTATTCTCTCTCTATTTCTCTCAAACAATTTATATTGATATAAATGGATTGATGCATCCGAGCTAATCTGTGCATTGTAATTGTGATTGGAACGGGGGAAGGGACCGTGGAACTTTAATAAAAGGAGGAACAAGACTCATATCTAGGGGAGCAATTTGAGTGGGTTGGACAATCAACTCTAACACAACCCTAAATATATAATATTTAACCCTAACCTTACCTCAAGTTGAGAAACTTAACCCGAGCACTGCCCGATTTTAATTGGGGCAAGTTCGGGTTGAATTCCGATTAATGATTTCGAACTGATTTTGGATTAATTTCGGGTTACTTTACGGGTTCAATTCGGGTTGAGTTCGAGTAGAGCACAAAATAGGTTTATTGTTCTAAACTTAATACATATATTATATAATATTCACCTAAATTAACAACTAATAATTTCAACCAAATTTTTAACAGTGCTAATGCTAGAACAAAAATAAAATGAATGAGAGAGACAGAGAACGATAGAACAAAAATGAAAAATCAGTGCTAATACTTTATATATATATAATTTTAAATTTGTCGGGTTCGGGTTGAACCCGTAAACCCGATGCCTTAATTCGAGCTCAACCGAAATTGAATTCGAGTTCAACCGAAATTGAATTCGAGTTGGGTTTTTTAACTCAAGTCCAACCTAAATATTAAAAATTCTTACCCAAACCCTAATTTTTTCGGGTTGAGCTTGGATTGAAATCAGGTTGCCCAACCCAAATTACACTCGTACTCATATCCGCTGTATTAGGTGTAGCCATTTAATAAGTTTAAGTCTTGTACCTAAATTCTTAAAAAGCCTCCAATATTAAACTAACCTCCAATTTCTTGTATATTTTTTTATCAAAAATAATCTTTTAGTCCACTATTAGGGCTGGATCAATAATACATGAAGTCTTAGGTAAACCTTTAGATGGACCCATAAATTATTTTTAGATGAATAATTTATTTTTATTTTTTTTTAGATTTTAAAATTTAAAATTTGTATTTTTTAGTATGTATATTTAATGTGAAAAATAACTTTCAAAACAAATATTTTATGAAAATAATTATATAAAGAATAAAATTAAACTAAAAAATTATAATACAAAAAAATAAATTTAAATAAATAATTTAAAGTTATTGAAAATTCAAACAAGATAAGATAAGTCATTGAGAATTTAAATAAGATTACATAAGATAATGTTGGTGAAGGCTAAGAGGCAAGCACGCAAGCCTAGAGAGACAGAGAAAGGAGGGGGACCTGGTCAACGGTTGCGCGTCCGAGTAATTCGGGTGTGGGGCCCTCACCACCTCTCAAAAAAACCGCGGGAAGTAACTGATGGCCGCCGGCGACCAATGACCGGACTGTTGGCCCATCGGCTATGGTCCCACCAAACCCTAAAAATATTTAAGAAAATCATTAATATTAAGCAAAACTGAGAAGTTAGACCCACAAAATTTTTTAAAAAAAAATAGAAAAATAAGGAAAATTTTGGAAAGTGGAACACTGTTTGTGGGGGGTGATCTCAAGTTAGAGAGAGAAAGTGAACACTAAAACAATTTTTTTAGAGAGAGAAAAATCTTTCCCTTCCACCTCTTTCAGAAATGATGGTCGAAGAGAGGCTCCTCCTCTGAGATCATCCTGAAAAGGGTAGTCAAGAAAGATAAAGATTTTAATTCATTTTTTGATTAATTAATTTATTTTCTTAGCTGTGATTTGGGTCTCACCAATCTTTCTGACCTATAATCATCATTATCATTTTCATTTTCATTATCCCCCGCCATTTTTGTTTTGAGCAATTCTTTGTAGTTTTCAGAGAATTATTAATTTCATTTCGACCCATAGAAGATTCACAATATCACCAGCAACCACCACAAAGACTTGTATCATTGACCGCCCTTTCACACTTTCTTTCTGGTATGTTTTCCTCTGCTTTTCTTTACATTGCATATGCTTTTTTTTCTTTTTATTAGATTGCTTGTTATGTTGTTATTCTCTTATCATCTTTTTGCTTTAGTGCTTTTGTTTGTTGGGGTTTGAAATACTCTTTTTTGTGCCATTTGACCCACATTCATGAATGTTAATTTTGTTTTATTGTTTTGCAAATTTCAGCTCTAATTGAATTTTGGAGATCATACATAGAGCCGGGTGTATGCCATTGTTGGTGAAAATGGAGGTTTTATAGCGTAAGGTTCAAAGTTTAGAAAAATGAGAGATCCCAATTTGGTCATTAGGTTCAAGAGGGCTAATAAGTTTTCTATTCTTGGTGATATATATTGTGCAGAGTAGTGAAGTTGTATTGTTTGTGTTTGTAAGATTAACAAAGTGTCATTGTTATTGGTGGTGGTGGTGGTGGTGGTGCTGTATGATTTATTGGGTGTCCGAGTTATCCATTACTCGGAGGGTTGTTCTGTGTGACAAAGCTGGCGAAATTATATAGCATATTGTATAGAGTCCTGGCTGTAGGCAGGAACAACTGCAACATATGGTTTGGCAAGCAATGGGGGATAGATGGACCGCATATGGAATCCAGTCATCATGTTTTGTTCTTTTGATTCTTGCTTTGGAAATTCATGGATGTTGCTCGCTTAGTTCTGAAGGTATCTCTTGGTATATATTTTTGTTCACTACCTTCTACAATTTAATTGTAGAAATTTGTTCATCATTATGAGTTGTATCTGAAATCCAAATGTAGGATTGGCATTACTGGACTTCCGGGATAGAGTGGGTTCTGATCCATATGGTGCTTTTGCGAATTGGAGTGCGAATGACAGTGACCCATGCCTGTGGTCAGGCGTTATTTGTGTGGACGGTAAAGTGCATATGGTGTAAGTCCCTGTTATGTTTCCTTAAGATATTCAGATCACATTTATGCCAAGAATATTTTCTTGTAAATGTAGATTGATGTCTTCTGGATTCTATTTTAGGCTTATGTGCTGTGTTAATTGTAGACAAATGTGCTCTTTTCTCTTCCTTTTTTTAATATCATAGGAAAAATAATGACTTTTATTTCAGATGATCTGGTCACGAAGATTTAGCAGTCGTTGAGAAATGGTATAATTTTCATGTTTTCAATTTGCTTTCATTTGTAGGGATCTCAACGGGCTTTCTCTGGAAGGAGTACTGACACCAGAGCTTGGAAAACTCAGTCGCTTGAAATCTCTGTAAGTGCCAACCTCATTTGGCTTTTGTATTTAAGATTCAGTGGTCTTGACTCTTGGTGGACTTCACAATACAGAAGGTTTCACAATTCAAATACAAATGCCTTTTTTTCAACTTGATTGGTCCTAGCAATAACTTGGAGTTAATGTTTCTAACAGTTAATTTTGCAAAGAAACATGAGATAAAGCAACATCTATGTTGGTCCTAGGCAAAATCTGTGTTATCAACATAATCATCATCATCATCATAGTCATTGTTATCTTGACGCCAATGCACTATCCTGTCCAATTGTAGTCGTAAGACTGTCAAACTGAAGTTATTTTGCAAGTTAAGCAGATATATTGAAGTTGTGGAAATATCATTTTCCCTCTAATAGCAGGTGCCACAATTCGCTCCATTTTGTATGCCTAAGCCACTTTTCACAATTGTTACTTTTTTTTAGCTCACAATGAATCGCCACATAATTTTTAGTGTCAAATCAAGTTTTCTTCCCTCTGTTGCTTAAGTTTGATCAATATCTTCTTTGCCAAGCAAAATGGATTCGGCCATCATTCCAATAGAGAAGATTAAACTAAGAACTCAAGTGTGTGCTTGTTTGGAATCATTTCTGAAAAAGCAGGATTTATTTGACCTATTGAAAATTTATATGACTTAATGGTTGTTGGTACTTAATGGTAATCTTTCATATTTTGTTTGTAAATTTGAATTACCTGGCATGCTTTTTGGGCTCATGTCCAATCAGTCATACCTAGATCATGTCTGATTTAAGAAGGATATCTCATATATCTGGACAAGTCCATGTGACATTGCCTGGTATCAGTAAGATTACCTGGCAATCATGAGTTAATCATATCTCTATTTTTACAATGGGGGCCAATGCATGGTGTAACAGTACTCAGACAGCCTTTTAACTTGTATTCTTTGAAGGACCACTAATACAACTAATTTGACAATTGTCCATATGGTTACTAATTCATCTATATTTATACTGTGATATAATTGTAGTAGGGTTTTTTTATTTTCTTACCTTATTGGTAACTGTTTGAAGCAATCTTGACTAGCTATGGTCGATATTGTAAATTTGGTACTTATACAATTTCATCTGATTGTCTGACATATTATACGTATCTCCATGAGTGCTCACTGCTATATTAGTACCATGCGGTAATCAATATCTGAAACTAACAGAATTTTCTGGTCTGGTGTCTCTGTTTGCCTTTACTAGTGTACTCTCCAAGAACCATTTCTCTGGCGTCATTCCTAAAGAGTTTGGACATCTTACTATGCTGGAGGTTTTGGACTTGAGGGAAAATGATTTGAGTGGAGCTATTCCGGAAGAAATAGGAGGGCTGCTGTTGCTAAAACGCTTGTCAGTCATTATTTGTTGTTTTAATGTAATTTGCATGATACTACAGTTGCAACTTCCATGTGCCTGGACTTAAGTTTATGTTGCACTACAGGTTGCTTTCAAGCAATAGATTTGAAGGCAGCATTCCTTTGGAGCTAGGGAGACTCAGTTTACTGACTGAATTGCAATTTGATGAGAACCTTACATGTGCTGTTGCCAGCGGAATTGGCTGCGTGAATAGAAAATTTGGACACTGGTACAGGATCTCTCTTTCCTTTGGACTCTTTTGTAATTTCTGGTGCTGTTTTATATAGGCAATCTCTACGCACATGGAACATCACCCTCCAGCATGGCAGAAAGAGACTAGACTCCATGTTGCGAGACTTCACATCACGTTTCTACCTGAAAATAAAATCCTTTTTTCAGATAGGTCATATCTAAATTATCCTTTTTCCTTTTCTTTTGACTATAGTGGAGAATAATCTTTTAGATGCATCTGATTGCTACTCTCTCTGATGTTGCTGAATAGAGAAGTCCTGTTACTCTTATTGTGTATAGTGTGTTTGCATCTATATATATATATGAATAAATTTTACTGCAAATAATCATATGAACCTATGCAATATACAGATACAAGCTAGCTTATCCAGTTCCTTAATTCAACTAGACACTATAGTTTTAAATCAGTTGATTTGAGTTTTGCAAGGGCATGAGTAATGAAACAATCACCTATCCCCACCTTTCATATATGCCTCCTCTCATGACTGTGTGAGGTCAATATCTATCATTCTTAATCCAGTCTAGTTCCCTTATTCATCAGTCTTCAAGGAGTGCCTTGGAACCGAGAGCAATTTAATGTTCTTTGTGGACCAAATGTGATAGAGAGAAACCATTAAATCTATATGATCAGGAATTCATCTTAAACTGCTATGTCTTTTTCAGTTAGCTATATAACTTTTAGGAGATGGTCAACTTGAGCTACCTCAATGGATGATTATGTTATAAATGTGCAAATGAATCAGCATCACCGCACACTGATTATTCCGTGGCTCTGGTTTTTGTGTGATTTAGGTAGCTACAATTAAAATGGATATTTGTTGCGGTATAAAATATACCAAATTTGTGCCCTAACCAAAGAGAGTCTAATGACTTTAAGCTGACTGTTTTTCTGATCATTTAATGCTTGTGTTGGGTAGCATCTGGCAGAGTGGCTTAAAACCATTGAAGAAAGTAGATTCCTTTATGGCACCAATTAGATGGAGATTTACGCATTACCTCAATCTGTTCCCAAAGTAAGGAACATTCTTCTTGCACCTTCTTAATTTTACTATGGTTATTTATCATTAAATTACTCAGTATTTCTGATGGTAACTGTATCTTCTTTCAAGGTTCAATTTAGGGAAGAGCTCCTTGCATGGTCATTCAGGCAATTGCTGCGACAATCTACAAAGTGTGTCAAAATTTTATTGGGTCCTGGCTCTATTGAGCTTTAAAATTTATGCTTTTGAGAGAAATGACTTTGGTTCTTGCGTTCAGCAGGTTCACCTGAGCACGTCCCAAATTCACAGAACCTAGTTAACTTTGTACGTCGTAGACTAGTCGAACAGTCTAGTAACCTTGTTGCTGCCCCTGCTAGTGGTGGATCCCATGACCAGATCCTTGCTCTTCCAGCTGGCAGAAGTAGTGGGTCATTCCCTGCCATACCAAAGGCAAAGAAAAGTCAAACTCCTCCTGCACCTTCACCTATTATACCTTCGTCGCATGAGTCTCACAATGGATCAAATCCTGATGGACAGTCTTCTGGCGATGCTAGTAAATCAACTGATAAACAAGATTCTGATAGTAAAACTTCTGGAAATGCGTGGAAGTATATCGTCGGGATTTCAAGTGCGGCTTTCTTGCTCATTGTTGCTGCGGCCATGTTCTTCATCTGCCGAAGCCAAGCAGTAAGCACCATAGGTCCTTGGAAGACTGGATTGAGTGGACAGTTGCAGAAAGCATTCATTACAGGTAAGTCTGGCACATCCAAAGAAAAGTAATTTATAGCAGCAAGGGTAACCACAGACTGACCTGGCCAATTCAACTGTCAACTTCATCTTTCATAGTGATCGATTCACCTCCCAAATAGATAGTTACACTCCAGTACAAACCACCAGAAACCAAAATCTTGAACATGACAAGGGAGAAATCTTAGTTTACATGGTGATCAGTATACAGTGTTGGCTTGGCTCCAATTTAACTCGTTTTTAAGGATAATTTCAGCATTCTTGCACATCCCACGATAATCAAAACATAAATATGGAAGCTGGAGAACAAAATGAGATATGAAACCAAAATTATGGGGTAATACTGAGTAATGCCAACATTGTCTAATTAGATTCCTTTATTCCTTTCTACATTTTTCCTTCAGTGGTTTCTGTATTCTCTTGAAACATTTGCCGCAGTTTGCTTTATTCCTTGACTTCTTCCTTGCTCTTCTCCTTGGCTTTCCCTTCCCCAATTTTTTGAATATTTGCTTCAACTAGAAATCCATCATAAGGGATTAGACATTACCAAAATGGCTGCTTTCTTAGTTTTTCATCCAAAAGTTTTCCTTTCTTACTTCATATCCTATAACTTTTCCGGTACAATTAATTGTGTGGCGATGTTTTCCACTTCTCTTTAATGGCATCACCCTTGCCTGAGGAGTCATACTTTATAGATGATGTGTCGTGGACAATGGAGCCACTAATTGTCTGCAGTTCTTCAAAAGTGTTATTAACATATCTGCTGATACCATTAGCATCATGGAATGATTAGTCAGTTGAACTCGCATTTACGGGCTTGATAATTGGTCTAATGACTAGCCATTCCTCTTTTTCTTTTCTTTTTTGGAGGGGGGATGGGAGTGGGGGTTGGAAATACATCCAGCATGTAATTTTGGATACTGTTGACTGAATTATGTGTGAAATTCAAACACAGGGGTCCCAAAGCTGAACCGTACTGAGCTAGAAACAGCCTGTGAGGATTTCAGCAACATTATCTACACAATTGATGGTGCAACTATATACAAGGGAACACTATCAAGTGGAGTAGAGATTGCTGTTTCATCCACTGCCATAAGTTCTCTGAAAGACTGGACAAAGCGTTCAGAAATGGCATTCAGGAAGAAGGTTTGCTGTTTTTGTTGGCGCTGAAAGATACATCAAACAATGAACTAGTTTCACACCTGTGCCCTTGTCTGCTTATTTAAAAAACTCGCCTAATGTTGCCTATGGTGCTCTATCTGTAGATTGATACACTGTCACGAGTGAACCATAAGAACTTCGTTAATCTTATTGGTTACTGTGAAGAGGAAGAACCTTTTGCTAGGATGATGGTGTTCGAGTATGCTCCAAATGGGACCCTTTTTGAGCATCTGCATGGTTAGTGTAGTAGCCTCATGCCCTTCTAATGGTAAATATTAATGAAAAGTTGGAGTGATTTTTGAGATAGCACATTTTTTTCTTTCCCTTATGCGTTTTTCAGTTAAAGAAATGGAGCATCTCGACTGGAATGCAAGAGTCAGGATTATTATGGGAACGGCTTACTGTCTCCAATACATGCATGATCTGAATCCACCTGTAGCACATTCCAACCTAAATTCAAATGCTATCTTTTTGACTGATGATTATGCTGCTAAAGTAGGCTTCTTTCTACAAATCTTCACAAATGTAGACATGTAGTTCTGTCAACTTTTGTTAACAATATTCTTCTGCTTTCTCAGATTGTAGAAATCAGTTTCTGGAAAGAATTTCTATCTAAGTCAAAGATTTCGGGGGAAAGTGAATCAGGGCATTCTGAACTGCCACCATTTGGTGATCCTGAAACAAATGTCTACAGTTTTGGTATTTTATTGCTAGAAATCATTTCTGGGAAGCTCCCTCACTCAGAAGATCAAGGGCCTCTTGTGAACTGGGTAACTCTTATTCCAAATCAATGACTTCCAGTAACACATTTTCGTGTTTTTGATAGATTAGTCATGCAAATGAGTCCTTGTACTATTTTAACTTATCAATTTTGTACGATATTGTCAGGCTGCTGAATACTTTAATGACAAAAGGAGTATCAGCTACATGATTGACTCGACCTTGAAGTCCTTCAAGAATAATGAGCTAGACATAATTTGCGAGGTAATCCAGGAATGTATTCAACTGGATGCGAGGAAGAGACCAACCATGAAGGAAATCACTTCCAAACTGAGGGAAGTGATCGATATATCACCTGATTCAGCAACTCCGAGACTTTCTCCTCTGTGGTGGGCTGAACTCGAGATCTTGTCCGCGGAGGCAGCTTAATCTGACTACTATTTTCCATGTTGTAAGTCAAGTATCTCTCTTATTATGCATAAATATGCGGAAGAATACCTTGCTCTCTTCAAGCAAACCCCATCCGTACTGCCTATTTAACTTCTTCAATGTCTTTTCAAGGGTTTTTTCTCTACATTTTGCTAAATTCTTTTGCTATTTGTTCGTTGCATTCGAAATAATGTGTGTTGCCATCATTGTATACATGTTACATGTACATTTATGATCAAAGAATGGTATGTGAAAAGAATACTGAACAAGGAATTTAGTCCTGTGGTGAATGTTTGAGCATTCTAACATTTTATTAAGTAGATTCTTAATTTGTGCTCATTATATCACCAGAAATTTAAACCTGAAGTAAATTTCAACCTGAGTTATAACTGGAGTTGTGTAAATCATACAAATCGGGGTTTGAAGAAGGGGAAGAAGAAGAAGCCCTCGACCCGCACGAGATAGAGGAGGATTTATTTAATCACTTAGTTTGGCTCCTAGAATATGGCACCCTTGGGGTGTCTGTTGAATTTTAAGTAGTCAGTTTTACTAATAAGATAGGGAGACTTACTTGACATTTGGAATTGCGTATTCATACCTAACGATTTTTCATAGAATGGTGATAAATCGTATAATTTGTACAAATCTTTCTATTTTCCAAGTTGATAAATGATAAGTTTGGATTTTCAAATATGGAATGTAGGGAGGCTAAATTCGGGTTTGAATCAAGATTGAGTTTGAGTTGAAAGTTTTAAGACTTGAATTGAACTAAATTAAACTCTTTAACTCATCTCCACCGAATTGAACCCCTACTTCCTTGCATCCCCAATAGGGAAAGTTCTTGGGACAACTAAAATGTCATGCTTACCAAATCTTTTTTCCTAAATTACATCCCAACTAATGTGTCTTATTCACAATCATCAAACGTTTTTTGGACCCCTTATTTTATTGTAGTGAGTGTGCCAATTGACTTAGAAAGCAAGATTTGGTAAGAAGAATTGATAACCGTAGTAAATTGGTCAACTAAATTCAACCTAAACATCATAAACATTAACTGCATTGAATAGGTAGTAATGAAGCATGAGAATAAATTATTACTCATTCCAATATTTAGTAATTAGTAATAAAAATTCATTCTCATTACCATGGAATGAAATGTCTAATCTCACTAATATGGAATTTATCATTCCTCAATAATTAGTAGTATTTCTTCTTCTCAACTATTTTCACTCGTTGCTACCATCACCACCACCCCACCTCCACTCGGCTTCGTGTCTGTGTCTGTGTCTGGTTCAGGTTTAGGTCTAGGCCCTAGTCTGGGTCTAGGGTTCTGGGGTTTGAGGAAAGGTTTGGGTTATAGGTCCAGTGTCCGAGTTCGAGTCATGTATTCAGGTCAAGTTTTGAGTCTAATTTTCGGATATGAGGTCAAGTGTGTGTCCTAGGTTCCGAATCCATGTCTGGGGTGGGGTCCGACCCTGGGGTTAATCCGAGTCCTGCTCTGGGATTTTATATTCTAACATTTAATTATAATTATTCTTAACATTAAAATAATAATATATATTCTATTACATTCTCACCTGTACTCTATTCTCATACACCATGTAAGTAATGTGAAAATTCTCGTGTAACTCTCCGCATAAAGGAGTGATTAAAGAGTGAAACAATAATAATATTACACTTATTTCCTATTTTTTTCCACTTCACATTCGTTCTGAAAGCCAAGGTTCCTCATATAGCGGAGTTGAAAAACTTTTTAACTATCCTATTAAATAAGGTTGATATTCAGTATTATTCATACACATTAATAAATATTATTTATTACTAATTGGTATTATGCATGATTATTCTGCACCCCCCCCCCCCTATTTATATATAATAATTGACACTATTCATGCCTAATAATCATCTACTGCAGTTATTTTTTTTTTCAAAGTTTAGAATATCCGGACTAATTTACACATAACTTAATTAATTATTTTGTTTAAACTAATTAAGTACAAGTCATTCACCACCAGACTAAAATATTCATAACAACGATCTCGCCTCAAGAGAAACTGAGAACTATATACAGAGCAAATGATATGTGTATGGAGAGAGAGAGAGAGGGAAAGGTTCCATTTAACTTAGATTTGTTTCCAACTTCACTGAAGCTCTTTAAAACTCTATACAACCTGATTACAACTCCTTAGCCCAAAGCTATACAACCCTATTGTGAAAGAAACGAACCCTACCATCACACACAACGCAAAGCTATAAACCAAACTGTTCTTCTTCTTCTTCACATTTTTAACTCTTCAAACTACTTTTCTCTCTCTTCTTCCCCCATTTCCTCAGCTGAATCTGAAGCATCGACTTCGCCGACAAGAAATCCACACACTGTCTCGGACTCAACACCTCCAACACACCCTTCAACGTCTTCAACCTCACACAATCCGCCATTTTCATCACTCTCTCCAACCCACCCAATAACCCCTTCAACGCCCCCTCCACCAACCCATCCACCTGACTCGCCGCCGAGTCACCGCCCTTGATTCGGCTCGCCAGCCTCGCCAAGTCCACCATCCTCCTGTCCGCCATCGCCACCTGTTGCCTCTCCATCTCTCCCTCCACCTTCTCCTCCTCAACCCTAATCTTCCCTCTCAAAACCTCAATCTTCTTCAACTGTTCCTCCGACATATTTGCGAGACTCGCACCGGGTGAACGTGTCACCCGGACGGTGTCGACGAGTCGAAACACCATTGATGGCTTCCAACCAGTTATCCATAGATAAGCATTCTCTAGAGGGCTGAACCAGACTGGTGAAAAGAAGGCTAAGACGTCTTCATGAGCCGCAGCCCATTTGGCTGTGTAGTAGTCTTTGTAGTGGGCAGTGACTTTCCCCACCAAAGCTTCATGGTTTACTGATTCATGAGAGTGATCGTCTGAGACATTCAGAAGAAGTTGAAGATATTCTTCAAGTTGACATACCCATTTTTCGAAGAAGCCTGAGAACTCCTCTACAACTTCTGTTTTCATCTTTAGAGAGACAAAGAAGTGAAGAGTGAGAATTCAATTTGAGATACAACATATGAGACTATGATGCGGTATATATGAGACTATGATGGGGTATATATACATACAACATGTATGGGGGTGAATTGCAATGACACCCTTTGTAGTTTTTGCCAATTTTACTGTTCCCCTATTGTATTTAAAATTATACTTAACTCCTTAGGATATGATAACTTATAACAGGTTTTCTCTTTTGTCAAATATGATCAATCTAAAATTTTAAACTCCCTATCTTGTAGTAATGTTAATAAAGGAAATTAAAAATAGGATTTGAATGATGTGTCATCGGTGTTTTTTATCCCATTTTATTTGTTTAATATTTAAGATTTATTTATCATGTCAATTATCATGCCATTTAAATTGTATTTTTAGTTCTATTTTTTGGTTAATCTTGTCTTACTCATCTATCTTATCCTTTAAATGTACAAATTAATATTTGACCCTTGTATTTTAAAACTAGACAGTCAATCCGTCAATATGACTTGAACAGTCCATTTTGACTATTGTATTTTAAAATAGCAATGTTATATGAACTTAAATGTTAATTTTATTAGTTACTATCATTAATTTAACTATGAATTTCAGTATTTATTAGGACGCACTATCTATTTAATTAATGTGATTGATCAAGTCAGTATTTTAAATTTGAATAATATTTTTCATTTTAAAATTAAATTGACTGATTCTGATGGGGGGAGGACATAACAATGGTAAGGATAAAGGATTTAGTATAATTTAAAAAGAGTAATATTGTGATCTAAAAAATTAATTTAATAATATAATAATAATGTGGTCCAATAAAAGTATTGAGACGGGAACTGTTAGACTTTTTTATTGGACACACTATCACTTGACACATTATTAAGTAAATTTTTTTAGGTACCAATAATATTAATCATCTAGGAAACAAGAAATTTTTTTTAATGTGTTTAATTAACCACATGATAGTGCCCCCACCAATAAAATATTATATATTCTCAATAAATTATGGTTACCTCTCAATTTATTGTAATTATTTTTCAAAAACCCAATTTTATATCCCACTTGGTTAATATAAGGTGGCACTGTCATTTGGTGTAAAGTAAACTCATTCAAAAATTTCTTATGAATAAGGGGGTATGCAGTAAAATTATTAGAAACTAGGGGGGTTGTCATTATAATTACCCCTTCGACATTTACATAATTTTTATGTATGTATGTAAACGGCGTATGTGTTCATTGTATCTGCGTAACTGTGTAAGTGTGACCAGATGGAGGGCGGAGACCAGGGCCACGCGGCGAGTGGCTTTTGCATGTCTTACTCGCAGCTCTCAGCCGCATGTCTATGTGTTTAGGGTTTGCGACGCTTCGAGTGTGCGTGAGACCTCTCTCTCTCTCTCTCTCTCTCTCTCTATACTTTTGCCTGAGTTGAAGAGACAGGAGCAGAAGTATACAACTCAGGTGGTCTTTGTGTTGACAGGTGTCACGATGTGAGAGAATCTGTGTTCACACGTGGAGGCATACGTAGATGTTGTTCATGCTTCGTAATATGGCTTAGTTGTATTGCAATAAAGCATCTACTCTAATGGGACCCAATTCAATTCCAACTCTAATCCAACCTGAGAAGATAGTATTAGAATTGATGTTTTTAGGGATATAATTAAGGTTGAAAAGTTCCAATTTGAATTGAATTTCGATAAAAATTGGGTTCACGGTTGTAACTAAAACCCAACTCAAATTCACGAAATCGGATTCAACCCAAGTTCATTTCAAATTCATGTATTACATTTATATAAATAATATAAAATAAAATATAAATACATATTTTTGTAATTATTATTATTTAAAGAGGAAGTAAAATATTATTTATAGGGACTATAGATAGTGAAAGAAGATTACACACCTGTTGTGGAATAAGTAAAAAAGGCAAAAGAAATTCAAAGAATTGTCATCCAACATTAGATAGACAACTCAAATGACTTATCCCCTATATAAAAGAAGGGTCATCCTTACACTCTTACTTAATGAATTTCATTTTAATGGACCATGTAAGCCTATGTAATAATCCAATATTATATAAAGGCTCATACCCAATTTAAGATTATTATTTGTTGAGCTTTAATTGCCAATCTAAATTAGACCCAAATTGGATATTTTCATTTCAACACAACCTTACCCGAAATTAACTCAGGTAATACTCGGTTTGAATATTTTGGGATAGAATTAAAGTTGAAAATATTATACCTAGGGTTAGGTTATGGTTAATCCCTCAACCCGTCCAACCTGTCCAAGTTACACTCCTAAAAATTAATATCATTTCTACGTAATACTTGACAAACTTGATAGATAAGAAGCAGACAAGAATCATCTTAACATAAAAATCAAGATGACTTTAATAGAATTCACAAAAACACAATTATTTTGTGACTAAATTATAAAAAGATTAAAATATTTTTAAAATTCTAGTCTTTAAGAGAAAATTTTTGCTAAATCTTCAACCGTTACAATAGACTTCCTCCTCCATTTATTCCAAAAATTTTACACCTGTAAATGAGAAAGTCTGAGTCTGAATATTCTTTCTTTATTTGTCAAGATTTTAGCCCCCTAAAATTTTTCCTTGCATTATGTAGCAACCGGAGTATTTGGAGGAACCTAACTAAAGAATGTAATGGGTGAAAAAATAAAATTTTATAAGAGAATTTTAGTCATTGGATCAAAGTTAGATAAATTTGAATAAATATGAAATGCGAAAAACTCAACATAAATTTAAATTTTTAAAATTTAAAATAACTTGTCTCTTATTATATAGATTTTAGGCAAATAAATCTTAAATCACAACTCCGATTAAATTCGGTTACCTGTGATCTCGAATTTCTGATATCCAATATGAATTAGTATAGGTTGAATTTGACATGAATTTAAATTTTCGTGTGTTTTTAAGAGTTTTATTGTTAAACCTCTACAATTTGTCAAAATTTCAATATATGCATGTGAGTCACGTCACCACAAGACCAAATAGTGTTCTTTTGATAATTTCAAATTTTTATTTTTATTTATTATTTTTGATTGTTATGAAATTCTAAAATTTTCGCTAGCTGGCATGTATTTGAAATTAAATATTTTGAAATTGATTGGTACATCTACGAATTATATTTGGGATATATTTTATGAAATGTGATTGTAGTTTTACGAGGTGTAATTATGCCACTGTGAGATTCAATTGTGATTATGGTCCTACGAGATGGGATTGATTAGTATCAGCATTTATTTATATATCAAAGTGTCATTTGTCATGTAACTAACATGAACCGAGTATTAAATTATGTTTGATAATAATTTAGTTATGTAACTTATCGAATTTGATTCTTAATTTTGTTATCCATGATTTGTCTATCGATTGAATTATTTAGTATTTGATTGTTTATATTTTAACGTTGAGAATATTATTTCATATCTTATTGTGTATTTTTTTGCTTTTAATATTTTTCAGGATGATCTGAAATAAAAAGACTAGAGTTGATATTGGAGGAATCGAGAATTGACGAATCTTAAATTTTTTTATAAAATTGTAATTGCGAGTTTTATTAGTGTTTAGTGATCAAATTTGTAATTCTAATTTTTACTAAGATAATTAGAGTGGTAAAAATAACAACAAAAATAATAAATCACTCACAAAAATAATAATTTTTTTAATTGTAAAATAATTCATAAAATCATAAAAACATTCATTAAAATAATAAAATTTGAAATTAAAATACCAATTTTTTTTTTTTTTGTACCTTAGTCAAACCCATCTAAAAACGGTTGCAAGCTTCGATGTTAACGAATTAACAGCCATCAATTCAACTCATGTTGACACTCCAAAATGAGGTAAGCGGGTATCCCATCCAACCATATACAACCCCATGAAAGAACAACTACCCAGTATCTAGCTTGTGCCAAATTTGCATCTCAAATCAACACGGATTGTTGGATGGGTGAGTCCCATAAAAAAAAAAAAAAAAGTTATTGGATTCCATGGATCCAACCATCTATATTGATTTGAGATGCACTCATCTTTCATTCCCATCCTTTTTAATCTAGCAAACAGGTCATATTGTTTTAAGGCAAGTGATGTAGATCATAGTGGCTTTGACACTCTTGATGCAGACCAAGAGAGAGAAATTAGGATATTGGGGTGGGAGTAGAAGAAAAAAAGGAGATTAGAAAAGAAGCACGGGGTGAGAATCAGAAAAAGAGGATGAGAAACAATTCTCAATATTATTCAATAATTAATGCAGAATTTATGTGTTTAATATTTATTTGGTCCTCAATCTTTCAATTATATTTATTTAGTCCCTAAGATTCATAATTTGTATTTACGTGATCCAATCTCAAACGTTCGTCAGAAAATCGTAATGGTTTTGATTACGCGCTAATCACGGGATTCCTAATTTTGTATCTATTTGGTCCATAAAATTTTTAATTTGTATTTATTTGGTCACTAAAGTTGATAATTTGTGTCTATTTGGCCCATTTGATTGACATGTGATCAGAAACATTAACGATTTTTTTACGGACGTCTGCGATTAGACCACATAGATACTAATTAGAAACCTTAGAGACTAAATAACAACACTACACCAATATTTTAGGGACTAAAAATATATTTTACCCAAATATTAATTCCTAATCAAATTCTACTACTAAAAAATAAAAATATAATAATATTTAAATAAATAAAAAAACTCAAAATAAATCATCTCATTTATCCTATTCCAACCCGATCCTTATCAGCAGGCCTTCCTAAATAGGCACATGAACACATGTCATAGTTGGATATATTTGACTAGGAACAGATGAATTTGCAAGATGGGCACACGAAATTTTCCAAGAACAAAATCCTATTGAAAAATGGGGATATGGAGTTTTTGGGCAGTTCTTCTAAACTCACTCTCTACTCAACAAGATTATGAACCACCACATGTTGTTCCTTAACAATCATA